GAGAGAGGAGGAGAGAGAGAGAGAGAGAGAGAGAGAGAGAGAGAAGAGAGAGAGAGAGAGAGAGAGAGAGAGAGAGAGAGGAGAGAGAGAAGAGAGAGAAGAGAGAGAGAGAGAGAGAGAGAGAGGAGAGAAGAGAGAGAGAGAGAGAGAGAGGAGAGAGAGAGGAGAGAGAGAGAGAGAGAGAGAGAGAGAGAGAGAGAGAGAGAGAGAGAGAGAGAGAGAGAGAGAGAGAGAGAGAGAGAGAGAGAGAGAGAGAGAGAGAGAGAGAGAGAGAGAGAGAGAGAGAGAGAGAGAGAGAGAGCTTTGCTTGCATGTTAACACTACAGCTAAAACTTAAAAATAGTACTTGGGATGCTTCGACCTTCAGCTGAACTAATGGCAGCTCTCTTCTTAATGTTTCGAAATGTTCGTTCAAATGCTTCGGAATATGACATAATCATTTCTGTTCCATTTATAAGTATTTCTGTTCTTTTGCCATATTTCTTAGTTATATCGTCATCTTTACTAACTTTCTGTTACTCACATCATAGGTCTGTTAATCTGTTTAGCTAAAATATATAAAATGTACACTTTTTATAGATATTTCATCACTTTTTATTTTCATCGACACACCGCCTTGACGATTTTAACCACATGTACAACACAGTACCTCCTTGAATACACTTGCACCATACTCATTAAACTAAATTAAGGCCATATATGACATTAACCACATATACGGTACAGTACCTCCTTAGATGCACTCGTTCTATACTCATTAAACTAAATCAAGACCTCATTTTAAGACATACAACGTATACTATAAAGTAAAAAAATATTTAGACGTTTCAGCTCCAGGAACACACGCATCACAGTACCTCCATAGGTGTGCATTTTTACCATGCTCATTAAACTTAATCAATACCTCATTTTAAAACATACAACCTATGCCATAAAGTTTTTTAAAAAATAGACGTTCCAATTCCAGGAACGAACAACATATACCAAAAAAAAAAAAGAAAAAAAAAAACAATTTAGACGTTTCAATTCCAGGAACGAACACACACACAGCACAGTACCTCCTTACAAGCACTCGTTTCATACTCATTAAACTAAATCAAGACATTTTAAAACATACAACCTATACCAAAAAATTAAAAAGAAATAGACGTTCCAACTCCAGGAACGAACAACATATACCATAAATAAAAAAAAAGAAAAAAAAAAACATTTAGACGCTTCAACTCACGAACACACACACAGCGGAGGAGCGAACCTTGGCGCGGTTAGTGATCACCGAAGCGAGGCGTGTCATTAGGGCGAGGTATTGCATTGCAGCTTTCCAGGTATCACACTGGCTTTCTGGAGGGGATCCAGACGCCGTTAACGGGACTTTCCTGACTCGCCGTAGCTGTGGGGGAAATCTTCATCGTGGTCGAGGAATAATGTCTCTTATGTGACTTGTATTAAGACGCTCTCACATCCACCACCCGGTTCATTAGGAGAATCAGACAGGAAAGAGAAACGGGAGAATGCTTTGAACCGATTTTTTTTTTAAACTTTGCTCTTTACTAAAGTTGAATCCGTTTTTCAGTTGTAATGCTCATGTCCGAAGTTCTCGTCACTTTCCAATTCATAAAAGGGAGATTTGATTTGATAAATCTATTATGGGGAGAGAGAGAAAGAGAGAGAGAGAGAGAGAGAGAGAGAGAGAGAGAGAGAGAGAGAGAGAGAGAGAGAGAGAGAGAGAGAGAGAGAGAGAGAGAGAGAGAGAGAGAGAGAGAGAGAGAGAGAGAGAGAGAGAGAGAGAGAGAGAGGAGGGAGGGAGGGGAGAGAGGGGGGAAAGGGAGGGAGGGAAAGAGAGAGAGAGAGAGGGGGGGGAAGAAGGGAGGAGGGAAGGAGAGGGAGGAGAGAGAGAGCGAGAGTGAGAGAGATAGAGCGAGAGAACGTGAGAGCGAGAGAGGTGGACAGACAGACTAATAGAGAGAAATAGAGCACAAAGGCTAGAGCAGGGGCTTCCCGCTGCAGGTATAACTCGTTTTTACTTTAAACAAGTAAAAAAAAAAATGACAGATCGTGTGTTTCTGAAGACGGTGGTTTATAGCAAGTTGTTTTGTTCTCAGTGACCTTCAGTCTAACAGAAAAGGACAACAGGATTTGAGTCAACCTCATATGCGCCTACAATGATTATCTTATTATATTTATCCTATTTATCCTTCAATCAGCCCATTGCCCTTATAGCTGATATCTCTATTTGCCAAAACATATTCAAATTCAGAGCTACGCATCGGAACAAAACGTAACAACTAAAACAAAGCATCCGTGTACCATTCTCCTAAGCACCTCTTTCTAAGTCGTAGTACTCACTTCCACACGTCTTTTGCGGTTAAAGCACAAGGACTCTGTGGCCTCTGCAGTGGTGTTTACGTGTTGCAAATTTCTCCGTTTTTAATTGATATTCCCATTACAACAGAAATTATGAAAGGTGCTGTTTCCTGGACACGCGCTCGCACACATACACACACATACACACACACACACAGAGAGAGAGAGAGAGAGAGAGAGAGAGAGAGAGAGAGAGAGAGAGAGAGAGAGAGAGAGAGGAGAGAGAGAGAGAGAGAGAGAGAGAGAGGAAGAAAGAAAGAAAGAAAGAGTGTGAAAGAAGAAAGAGAAAAGAGAGAGACAGACAGACAGACAGACAGACAGAGAGACATACAAACAGACAGACAGACAGAAAAAAACAGACAGAAACGTACATACAAACAGACACACATATCGATAGAAAGATAAAGCCCCCCTCCAGCAGTCTACACATGAACGCAATCCCTCACGGACGGATCCAGGTTTTGTGCACACGTGACGGAGGAAGTGCACAATCACGTACGAGTGAAGACGACTTGAGCAAAAATACGAAGTTCCGACACTCACGCGAAAAATGGCGGGGACGTTAACCTAGCCTCTCACGGGTCTCTGAAATTTTCTTTGCTTTTATTTCATGTTGTGTGACGGTGTGATTTTCTGTGGGATTTGTGTGTATGTTTGGTATGGGGATTTTGTTATAATGATTTAGGTGTTTTTTTGTCGTGTCTTTTTCTGCAGTCCGGCGAGGAAAGTTAGACTAAAAAGGTTGTTGGAGAGCTTTTATTTTTTGTTGTGTATTCCTTTTTGTATTTTTTATACCTTCATCCGTGTATATATACGTTTGTATGTAATAATTCATATATATATACATATATATATATATATATATATATATATATTATATATATTATATATATATATATATATATATATATATATATATATATATGTATGTATGTATGTATATATGTATGTATATATATATATATATATATATATATATATATAATATATATATATACATATATATACATATATATATACATTATATATATGTATATATGTACATATGTATATGTATAATATACTGTATATATATATATATATATATATATATATATATTATATATATTATATATATACATACATAAATATATATGAAAGTGAGTGTGTGTGTGTGTGTGTGTGTGTGTGTGTGTGTGTGTGTGTGTGTGTGTGTGTGTGTGTGTGTGTGTGTGTGTGTGTGTGGTGCGTGGTGCGTGCGTGCGTGTGTGCGTGCGTGCGTGCGTGCGTGTGTGCGTGCGTGCATGCGTCCGTGCGTCCGTGCGTGCGTGCGTGCGTACGTGGATACGTTTAAGGAGGATATTCCATGCATTGATTCCAAACTGCAATACGTATGATGAGAGCAAAGACGCCAAACGTCCTGCAAAGACCAGATATAGTAGAACATATATAAATCCCATTTATATATATGTTCTTATATAAATACATATTGTTCTGATATAAATCCGATTGGGAAATCCTACACAGAAAAACACGAAATACAAAATTAAACAGTAATGATTCGTTTCATTGATTATTTCTTTTGCAAATGCTCAGTGAACAGAAATGTGCGTTTCAAAATGATGATGATGATGATCACATGAACATTAGACATGATATCCAAACGTAATGAAAATTTTATTGAATAGTTGCAGATACTTCTTAACAGTATGAAATGTTTATGATGTAAATGATGATTGATGATGATGATGATGATGATGATGATGATGATGATGATGATGATGATGATGATGATTGATGATGGTGATGATGATGATGGTGAGGATGATGATGATGGTGATGTGATGACGATGATGATGATGATGTGATGACGATGATGATGATGATGATAGTGATGATGAGGATAATAATGTAATGATAGCAATGATAAAAAATAATGACAACAATATCAGTAATGATAATGATGATAATAATAATACTGATAATAATGATAGTAATGATATAAAATATAATAATATTAATCATCATTATTAACATTTTAGGAATAATAACGATAAAAATAATTATGATGATAATGATTATGAGGACTGTGGTCATGATAGTAATAATTATAATAAAATTATAATGAAAATAATGATAATAATAATGATGATGTTGATGATACTAATAATAATAATAATGATAATAATAATAATAATAATAATAATAATAATAATAATAATAATAATAATAATAATAATAATAATAATAATAATAATAATAACACCCCCATCGCCATTCAATAACTCCCGCACCTTTCCCCGACCTATGAAAAAGTCCTTCCGCCACCTTGGAGGAGTTGAAGGAGTTTGAACAGTCCTGCGGTCCCTCGCGGCGCCGGACTTCCTTGTGTGGGGGAACCGTGAGCCATAATAACGGGCGTGTGTGAACCGCAGGTCGCCCGTGCTCGCTCAACAGGTGCGGTTTCTCGCTCAGGACCTGCGCTCAAATGAAATCCTGTAGGTTCCATAAAAGGCGTTTGAAAAATTATGTTTTGGGATTTATAGGGAAATTTAGGTTGTTTATGAATTCGATATCATAAGTTGGAAGAGGGTTGGGGTGTGTGAGATTTTTTGTTCAGTAAAGGTTGGATGTGTTTTGGGGATGCTAGATGCTCGCTTGAGGTTTGTTGACAATATGGCAGAATGGTGTTAGTTTATGTGTCATTACGCTATTTACAATGTAAGTAGAGGTCGGACAACGCTTTGTGTCGTATTCATAACTTAACCTGAGTAATATGGGTGTTGACACATATATTTAAAGTGATCATTGTGCTTCTGGTGGTGCTACAAAGGGAAATGTACGATTTTCTTACGGATAGTAGGGAATCGGGTTGAGTCAGTGAACTTTCTTGGAAGAAAAATTGTCTTACTTGTTTGAGCTTTACGGCTCTTTTCTAAGGCATGAAAAGGGCTTTTTCTGGACGCCCACAAGTGCCAGGCATATGATGGTTTCCTAAGTATGTTACATAGAAGAATGGTTGTCCTATAAGTAACTTTGGTGAGTAAATCAGTTGATCAGACTGTCAAAAAGAGGTCACTCGTTTTTTGCATTTCGGAATAAATTTGAAGATTATTGCATTGCATCGAAAATAAGATATATAGAGTTCCTTTCCTTGAATATAAGTGTTTTGTATTTTTATGGAACCATGTAGATCAGTAATATTGTGTGAAGTGAAAGGTGACTGTGTAAGAGGTAAACAATATTTTATTTTGGGTGTGTAGAAGCCTAATAATTTAGATGTCTTTGAATTTTATGTGAAACCTTTAACAGAAAGTGTCAGTATTTAATTACTAAAGATCAATATTTTATTTGGATAATGCAGTTATCTCTTGCCATAAGGCAAATTTTCATTTTGTATGTTTTATTATTCTTGAATCTATGACCACACCACTTTTGAACCAAAGACTAGAAACAACTTATATTTACTGTGGAGACTAAGCCTAAACTGATGCTGTATTTAGTGATATATTTCCAGTGAAGTCACCACACTATAATGCCAGGAGGTTTTTTATTATGGAGGTTTGTTGGTCTGTACTGTATATATAACAGTGAACGTATACAAAACTATACGACATTGAAATCTTACCAGTACGCTCTCTCAAGATTAGTTGCTTGTTTCTTTAGGTTATGTTTATAAGACTTCTTTTAATCATGTTGATCCTGATTAATTCAAATCCATATTAAACCCAAAACTCTAGGTGATCTGTTATGGAAGGCCTATAATTTTATGTCCATCCAAGCATTGGTGTGATGTCAAATGAACAGAAACCCCTTGTCCCACACATGCATGCTAAGGACAATAAACATCCACCATGCATATTTTAGGAAGTTAGTGCTAGGACAGGTTCCTTTTGCGATGAGATATTTCAGTGAAAGTTTATTGTCTTTATCTTGGTATTATAGTCTATCAATGATAGCAGTTTAGTGACTGTTGCTGGACTGTGCTAACATCAGAATGTCTCTCTTTAATATTATGCATTGTAGATAATGAGTATGTCTCATTGCTATGAGACAAAGTCTCTTTTACTCCAGCCAATGGTTAATCTTTACAGTATGGATGCACTAGCCTAGGTAGGGCATAGTGAATATGATACTTTTGTAGGGGACAAAAGGTTGCAGTACCAGTACAAGAAATAATCTGCTGACACAAACTGTAATGCCACAAATGAAGGAAAAAGATTGTGAAATGCACTGGCATAAGTCCACTCGATGTTCCTGAGATTCAGCTCTATCATGCCATGCGTGCAGAGATGAAGGTGATGCTTCCTATGGGGTGTTAGCTGACAAACCTCCCCATCAGGCACTGCCTAGTCACGTCAACTTAAGTTGATAAATAAATTTTGTAATGTGGTGTTGGGGACTTAGTTTCAGGAGAGTGTGTCCATACTGTAAACAATTAGCCTACCCAGCCAACAAGCTTGGGGGTACTCATAGGATTTTGATGTCTTTATCTGGAGAGGACATCTATGTCAGTTCTATAATTATAATTTTCAAAGGGGCCCAAGATGCTTTCCATACAGGGGCATGCTCCTGGAACCTACCTCTTTCATTGGGACATTTTTCCTACTGTGGTCAAGCCTTCACACCCCCTTTCCCTGGGACATTCCCAGAACAGGTGCAAGCCCCAGGACTTCCTTCCCCTGTGGTATTATGGCATTGTAGTCCATAACATAATGGCACTCAAATGATATAGATTTTGATAATTTCTTGCAAGTTTTATTTGTATAAAGTCAGGGTAGGCTATCCATTACCACACGTAACACTAGACATCGCACTTAGTTCAGTGTGTGATGAGGGTCAAAAGGGCAGGTGTAGTCAAATATGCTGTTAAATTTGCTTTGTATAGACAAGTGACATTCATTATGTGTCATTGTTATGGCAATGTGTAGATTTCACCAGAAGTAGTATAGACTAAACACTAAAAGAAAAAAAAAAAAACATAGAGGGTTAAGACATATAAAAACAGTATTAATTGAGGAGGATTTACTTTTATACTGATTTAATGAGGCTATTTAGAGCCATCCTATAAAGCTCTCTGTATAGTTTACATTCAAGATGGTTTGAGATAACGAGGTTTGTGGACTGCAGCTAGTGAGATCCAAATGGTTTTACTGATTTTCCTGACATCTATGAATACAAATTGATGAGCCTATAAACCATTGATGTTTTTATTAATATAGTGAGGCCTTCATAGTAATGCTAGAATTACCCACAACAGGCAAGTGGAAGTGAAAGACAGGAGAAAAATTAAAAATACTAGCCAGCATTGAGTCATGAAAGATATGGATAGACCTTTGTTCTGCTGTTTAGACATACTTTGAAATTTACTGTGAAGAGCATACAGTCTTTAGTTTAACATGATAGTAGTTTAGCACAAATTCTGTGCTGCAGGATTCACCAAAGGCCAATGAAGGAGAATTAGTCTTTTTTGGAGTGCCAGTGTTTTTCAGGCATTTTTCAATAGATATATATTTTTTCATATACTTCATAGAATAATTCTTTAGAAAATAAGATTTTAAATTTTGCTGTAGACTATTGAATATAAAAAAAAAAATATATAGGAGATATGATTGTAGATAGAATAAACATTAAGAGGAGAAAAAATATAAATTTAATTTTTTGGTGGACATTTTTACAATGAAATGGTAAAGGATCAGAAAAACATTATTAACCTTCAATATTCTGTGGTATTTTAACCTATGCATATACAGCTAAATCCATTAATATGTTGGCCTCTTTAATAATTGAAATGCAAACAAACTTCTACCATATATATCTAGGCAAGTTTGTTCACTTCCCTAAGGAATGCTTGTCAGAAGTTCTATAGAAAGGTATAATGCATTGGCAGACCAGTATACAGGCCTGGCTTACACAAATGGTATTGACAAGTGTAATGTTGCAATTTGATAGTTACTGGTACCTTGATCTTTCATCTGCAGATATTTTGGATAAAACATGCATGGAAAAAATGATATGGACATTATTGACTTCAATATTAAGAAATGCATTGAAAATGGAGAAGCTACTCTAAAATCTAGTTTTATTTCACTTGTGATTTTTATATATTCAGTATGTATATTATAGGAACCTTATTGTTTATGGACAGAACAGGAACAAAAGTTATAATTATAAACATGCTGATATTACAAATGTTTGCATTATTACTCTCAATTTTCAGCCACATTCATTACAATCTACATGGGGTGATACTGTAGGTTTCACACTTTAAACCCTGCAAAAGATCAACAAATATCCCCTATGTATATGCTTCAAGATAGACTAAAGCTTGAACTTATTTTTTTTTAATCACCTGGGGTTACTAAGTTGCCAGAATATTAAAGATAGCTTTGTTTGGTTTTGCAGGAGATATATAAAGTAACACTCTATGGCAACATTGGAATTGGTCAAGGGATTTGCGAACAATTATGGCCTTACCATTATTCTCTACAAATTATTAATCATGTATATTATTGATGATTTATATCTTCTATATAGACATCGTCTGTCCTGTCATGAATGTTTAATGTACTGGTATTACTTCTTAATCCTGATTCCCACTTGGATAGCAAACATGTGACACTGTCTAAGTGAAATACACAAAAAAGAAAAGTGAAGAAAAAGAAATACTGCTGAGCTTATTTATGAGGAAATTTTCTAGTTCTTAATTTTTGCACAGTATTTTTCACTCTATTTTGTTACATTCCCTAACAACGAATTTCTTTTGAAATTGACAGCTACCTTATTAGTGATCTTTCAATGAAAGCAGTAGAAACAAATATGTATTTGATATGGATTAACATGATTGAACAATGGTTTCTTTTATTAATTTATTTATGCATCAATTTATTAATTCATTCAAAAGTAAAAAGATAGATATCCTTAGTCCTTATCATTTCATTGATTGATTATCATGGTGAGTCTAGAGCACAAATGCTTCCTGCACTAGATGGTAGGGGTAGGGGTCCCTCTACCCACTAACCCTTTCATCTGCATTCTTGGCAGGCTTAGTATGCTTTGACAAGACAGAACATGTGAGTGTTTTTTAGTGTCATCATCTATGTATTTACCTTTTGATGAGAATAGGTACCATGGTATTTGGTGCTGAATATTGATCCGTTGCTTTTGAATAGCATTAGGTATAATATGAAATGTTTGGAAGGAGGACACTCTATATTGGCCTAATAATTGCAAGGTTAGGAATTTCTAAAACATTAGCAGGTCTTGAAAGTAAAAGCGAGTACTGATAGAAGAGATATGTTTATATCAGACTAGTAATAATTGATAGTCTTTATAGTATTTGCAGTGTATAGGTTATGATCCTGTTATTTTCTTGATCACTGAACTCTAAACTCTTGCTATTGCACACCAGAATTTGGCTTAGTCTCCTTGATCAGGAGAGAGAAATACCATCGTAATTTTCATATTTTCCACTTAACCTCTGAAGTGCCATTTTAATTTGAATTCATATAGACTAGGCCTTTCTTTTGGTTTTTGTTACATCACAGAATGGAAGTGAGGAACATAAGTAATGTAAGGTATATGGAATGTCACACTTCATTTCCTGTGTGCATGGACTTAGCCCACTATAAAAAGGTTTATATACTGTTAGACAAGA